CACACGTGTGCTAAGGTCGTCCATTCATTGGACAAGGATTCTCAAGGGAAATCAGGAAGTGCAAAAAAGGCTCAGCATGGAGATATTTCCATATATTTCATTCTGCAATATTTGTTCTTTTACTAATTTTGTGTTAATTCTGTACAAACGCAATATGAAGAAACTAATGAGTATCATATGATAGATACGAAGTTGTAATTCGGATTTTGAGAAGACGACGAGTGTAACGTTTGAGTGGCTTTATAAACGCGGGGAAATACGACAACTCTCGTCTCTCGTGCATCTTTTCATTCGACCATCTACTGTTTTTTTTATCTCTGGGCAACATCTCAACTTTGCGTTACAAGTGGCACTGCACAGAAGACGGAGAAGGTATACAGTTTTCATTCATAGAGAGGGGCTATGTTCACTCATTCAAATATGAGATTCTTATTGTGTACTAACAAGTGCTGTCAATGTTAACGCTTGCGATTAAGTTTGTCCAGTTTAACGAAAAATAACGCATCATCATCCTTGTATTGTAACTATCCTTACATTAATAATAATAATAATAATTTATTACATTTATATATAGAATTTTTCTCGGCATTTGCTTTAAGGGGGAAACTCGTCAACCACCACCAAAAGGTGGTGAACTGCAAATGCTTTATGAACTGTAAATGATTTTTTTTTTTGCATCTTTGCGCGATTAGACATTCACACACGACGCGCAGAAAGACGCGCAATATTCTCTTTCGACGCAGTGCTTTCTTGCAATTGGGTCGGTTCATGTTCACACCGTAAACGAACCGTACCAGAGTTCGTTTGGAACCGTACCGAGACCACCTCTTCAGCTGGGTCTCGGTTCGGTTGTTTGGTCCGCACCCGAGTTCGATTGCTGTATTCACACCTGCCCAAAAGGTCCGCACCAAGGGGGCAAACGAACTAGAGTTCGATTCAATCGAACCAAACAAGGCAGGTGTGAATACACCCTAAGGTTGTATAGACCAAAACAGCTCATTTTTAAACAGGCCCCAAAAATGACATTTTCAAATGGTTATAATAAATTAAATGTGGGGTATTTTGAGCTGAAACTTCACAAATACATTCTGGGGACACCCAAGACCAACATTACATCTTGTAAAAAGGGGCATAATAGGTGCCCTTTAACTCTTTAGTCCAGGAAAATGTCAATAGGAAGAGCAACGAGGCCTCGCAAGTTGCCAATGCTCTCTTCCTGAGACCATTCTTCCAGTCACTTCCCAGCCACAAGAGTAGAACCTTAGGTAAGGCAAGTTTATTTATATAGCACATTTCATACACAATGGTAATTCAAAGTGCTTTAAATAAAAAGGATTTAAAAAGAATTAGACATTAAAAAAGAAAAAAACATTGATTCAAAATTTCAAAAAAATTTTTTAAAATGTATCAAAACAGTTATAAAAACAATAAAAAGAGGACAAATGGATAAGATAAAGGCCAAATGTGTGTTGTTTGAGCACTGCTGATTTGCTGTGCAATCAGTTGAATGTACAGTACAGTGCTCATTCAGTAAATGCAGCTAAACAGATGTGCTTTGAGTCTGTATTTGAATGTGGCTACTGTTGGAGCACATCTGATCTCTTCTGGAAGCTGGTTCCAGCTATGGGTGGCATAAGAGCTAAAAGCAGACTCGCCTTGCTTTGAGCAAACCCTTGCTATTTTCTGTTAGGTTTATATTCAATGAGCATATTTGCAATGTGCTGAGGTTCTGGGCCATTGAGTGTTTTAAATGAGTTTAGTTTAACCAGAGTCAGAGGTTAAACTAAACTCATCATAAAACTCAAAGAAAGGGTTCAACTAATTTAAATATACAAAGTATACAGTACCACAAGTTCAAACCATGAAAATTGCTAGTTTGTTGAAGTCTTTTTTTAGACTTGAATGACACAAGATGGGACAGAAACCTGGAAGGCACTGATTATCAACTATTTCATCTGCAGTATCAGAGCCAGTGTCTAAAAGTATTTAGAACATGGTCTCGGGCAGCACTTGTAATTGTTTTTGGAAACGTGCAGAGGATTGCCAAAAAAAATCCCCAAGATCCTAACGGCAGACAAAACAAGACTGCCATATAAAGTCAAGCCCTGAGCACACATCAAATTAAACAGTGATTCCAGAGTGCCTACACAAACCCTTGTTTCGAAAAAGGGGGCGTTGTGTAAACACTGTATTGGGCAGAGTTCAAATCAAGCTACAATGTACAGTTATGTGTCAGCAGTTCTGACACTTGTTTAACTTTGACACCTCACTGTAAGAAGCTTAAACACTCGCAACTAAACAGACTGACAAATTTGCTTTAAATCTCATGGGTAAACATTACGTCATTGCATTGAATTGAAAGGTTGCATTTTAACTTTGTTATACAGGAGCTTTTTCTGCAGAGCAACCCCAAGCTGACTGTAAACACAGCTCATTCCACTGAATAAAATGTCTCTAGGCTACATTATCCAAAATGAGTTCAACCAATTCAGATCAAGTTTTTCTTTGACATGATAAATGGTCTTTTTGAATACAAAGCAACTGGCCCAAAAGGCATCACTTAAAAAGAAATCTCCAGTTCAACAGCACTCGTCTTTAACACTCCAGAGGGCAAAGGAAGTGATCTGGCATCACATAGCTGCTGCTGTTCCTTCCAGCTGAAGTCCCAGACACAGATGTGGAGACTAAAGACTCAGGAAACTGGCCTGGTCACACCCTCTGCAAATAACAAACTGCACACGCCATCCCCCAGCCAGGGAGAAAATCAGGCCATGACTGAGAGAGAGGTGAGAAAAACAGACACCCTGTGCCTTGAGTCACTGGAACCAGGACGCATCTCCAATTGCTAATTAATTGCCAAGTTGTCTATCCATATCCGCATGGTATTTTAACAATGGATTCATAATTATACAACTGTTGAAAAGGTTTGGGCAAGTAATCTTTTTCTTAATTAGCAAGTAAGCATTAAATGGATCAAAAAAGTAACAGTAAACATGTCTATCTCAAACCAATTCTGTCCTTTTGAACTTTCAATTCATCAAAGAATCCTGAAAAAAAAAAAATCTGTCACAGTCTCCAAAAATATTTAATAGCTCGACTATGTTCTACATTGATAATAAAAATATTTCTTGAGCATATCAGCATATTATTATCATTTCTGAATGATCTTGAAGACTTAAGACTTGCGTAATGGCTGCTGAAAATTTAGCTTTGCAATCACAGGAATAAATTCTATTTATATGAAAAAAAAGTTAATAATATTTCACAATGTTACTTTTTTTATTCAAAAAATGAAACTTATTTCAGAAGCAAGTAAAAAAAAATCTCCAAACTTTTGAATGGTGGGCTTACAAAAGGGACTGAACTTTATGACTTAAATTTCAGAGGTATTAACACATTTGTTTATAGTTTATTATGTGATCCAAAAACATCCCCCTCTACTACTTCCTGAACTTCAGCCATCTCCTTGTTTCCTGTCTGCCATTATTGGACAAACTTGATTAATTCAGGTGTGCCTGATTGTTGTTGTGACTACTGAGGTCAGACACACCTGGATTAATCAGTTTGTCCAATAATGGCAGACAGGAAACAAGGAGCTGGCTGAAGTTCAGGAAGTAGTGGAGCTGGGCATAAAGCCAATTCCCTGAAAAACACTACCTGCAATATCATCAGAACTATTACAAGAACAATACATAAAAATTTCATTTCATGCTATACACTGTAAAAACATATTGATGGTTTAACTTAAAAAAGTAATTAACCTTGTTGCCTTAAAATTTTAAGTTCATTAAACTGGAAAAAGTGAGTTAATACAATGAAGGAGATTAATTTAACCATCAGAAACTCAAAATTATATGTTATCTGAACTAAATAAATTATTTAAGTTAATTTGACAAAAGATAAAATGTTGTGATTACTACACTGTAAAAAAATATTGTTGGTTTAACTTAAAGTAAGTAACCTGGGTTGCCTTAAAATTTTAAGTTGATTGAACTGGAAAAAGTGAGTTAATGCAATGAAGTAGATTAATTTAACCATCAGAAACTCAAAATAATAAGTTATCTCAACTAAATAAATTATTATAAAGTTGATTTGACAAAAGAAAATATGTTGTGATAACAAATCTTGAAAATATTTTTTACAGTGTAAAATGAAAAGATTAAAATATCAATCAAACAATTCATAGCTTATTTATACGTGCACATCCACACATAGGTCACAAGTTGACATTAGAATCATACAATCGATTTTATGACATTGTTATATTAACAATAAACCTCATGCTGACACCACATTGTCCCTCTTATCAGAACTAGTAAGTCATTTATTTACAGTGTGCTGATGGGGAAATGTGATCCACATCACCAAAAACATGAAACACAATGGCAGGATATCCACTGCAAAACTTGTTTGAACAATAAGGCCAATCAAAGTGGGTGTCATCCATGGCCAACACACCTGTGGCCGACCCACAGCACTCTGGCTCAGCAGGTGCAGCAAGTTATTTGAAGCAGTAGATACAGCAAACACAACAAAGCCATGAATTCCCTTAATGTAGACATGAGATGTGTAATGCATTGTTCCCTTGATATGAAAAACTTTTAAAGCTAGTTTATTCCAAATCAGTCAATTAATTACACTTAAGATGTTTTGCAAGATGATTTGAGTAACTCTTTCATCTGGTAACAGAAGATCAATGAGAAAGAATGATTCAGATTTGCAACCTATTATTAGTTGCAGCTCACAATATTAGTACAGTATAAACATAACCAATTTCATCATTAACCTGCAGACAGACAGACAGACAGACAGACAGACAGAGACAGATAGATAGATAGATAGATAGATAGATAGATAGATAGATAGATAGATAGATAGATAGATAGATAGATAGATAGATAGATAGATAGATAGATAGATAGATAGATAGATAGATAGATAGATAGATAGATAGATAGATAGATAGATAGATAGACTGGCAACAGGGTGAATTATCTTACCTGAGTTTAAGGTTGGCCATAAACTCTTCCAAAGACACATTGTCCAGAAGAACAAAGTCCGCCTTTCCGAACTCCAAACTTTCGTGTTCTGCCATTTTAACGAGTTAGAAATATAATAATAGAAAAATGTAAAGCTAACTGTTGAATTTGTCCACGACTACTCAAGTAAATTCGATAACAACAAACCGAAGCGATAATGCATTTTCCTGAATTTGTTTACATTTGCCTAGCGCACTATTCGTCGGCTTCTTCTCATGTTATTTGGAAATGAAAAAATAAACAAACAATGTGCGTTAACTATGCGTTGTTTTCGTATGTTTAAGGTCACTAAAAGCCACGCACTCGTCCGTCGCCTGAAAACTTCACACAACTTTTCGAGCCTCCCGGTGTTTGAGTGATATTCCGCTACATCGAGAGTCGCACCTCTCATCCCTTTTTCCACGAGCTTCTCTCGTCTCGCCTAAACACTGTGGCTTCGGTATCCTGCCCGTCTCGCACAAGCCCCTCCCCTCTCGGGCGCGTTCGCGCTTACCTCTATACATGAATGACACAGTTGCAAAGGTGGATACATGCCGTCGAGTCGACTATATGGTAGGCTATGCAGTGTTAACATCGGTCCCTTATTATTATTATTATTATTATTAATTCTTTTTTTGTTGTAATTATTATAATTATTCATTATTCATTGTTTTGTTTTTGTTTTTTTTGCTTCTAGCAGCATACTTGTATTACGAAATCCCAAATTATCAACGCTCGGAACTATTCAGAAGTGAATATTTGATCGCTGAAACAGAGATCACAATAGACTGACAGTAAAGGGCGAAAATATGTAAGTTATTTTGTCACCAGCTAAAAATGTAAGCTAAACTGCCAGTATTTGCGCTTGCTAAGACATAGGCTACTAAGTCCATTTCCAGAGATAACATTTTAATTAGCAGTATTATGGAGGGACATTTGACTTTGAATTGTGCATAGTTAGAATTCTTTGAAGACTATTAGTCATCATCATCAGCGAGTTTCTAAATATCTCTGGAATGTCCGTCTGTCCTCTACTACCATATAAGGCAATGGATAATCCCATTTGAGAGAACTGCCCAACAGTGGTTCTGCATAAAACTTCAGTTAATTACAACATATCTGACAAGTGAATTAGACCAAATTTACAAGTGCTCACAGGTAAGCACAATGGTGGTTTATAATTTTTTGGTCTGCTAAAAAAATGTTTCCATGTGGTAAAACATGATTTTGGGCTGGCACGTGCTGTCACCATGTTTGCGGAGACCTCGAGACACAAGAAGGTGTTTAAGTTTAATGAGGACTGAGGATGGCTTCAGGTTGCTCTGTGCAAGCTACTTGTGGCCCAGTGACATCTTCCTTGATTAAACACAATGAGAGTGCTCTGCTGCCCCCATCGGTATCTCCAGTACACTGGGACAACGCTATCACCTATAGTTACATACAAGTAGTTTACCAACAATAATAGTGTAAAAGAAAACAATGTTTGTTAAAACAATATATATCAGGGTTTTTTACTTGTAATATTTTAAAGACCATTTATTATATTTATTATAAAAATGTGTCTCAGAGTATGATGTGTCTAATTAGAAAGCTGTTTATTTGCATTTGATATTATTATTTGCATTTGATATTTTTTTAAATTTGAAACAAATTTTTCTTTAATTTTCTTTAATTTGTACTATTATTATTGTGGTAAACTATTTAAAAAAAAAAAATAAATATTATTAGCAATATTATTATAAATAAATATATAAAACAATGACAAAAGTGTTGTTTTAGTCTTAAAGCCTTCGTTTAGATGTTTTATGGCAAAGTATTTTTATAGAAAAAAAATTGGAAATACATCTCTCAGCAAGACACGTATTAAAAACTATTAAATGAATAATAAAAAGCAATGAATAAACATAACTAGCAGGACATTTTACCATTATATATATATATATATATATATATAAGTCCAACCTTGGTGGTACTAGGCTATTTAATTGGCCTCCATTTAAACTAAAAGGCCTGGTTTCACAGACATGAATTAGATTAAGCCAGGATTAGGCGTTAGTTTAATTAGGACATTTAAGTAGCTTTTATAAACACAACATAGGGAAAAAAATCATTACTGGTGTGAATCTTGAGACAAACATGCATTTTAGTCTAGGACTAGGCTTAAGCCTTGTCTGTGAAACCAGGGGTAAATCATAATGTTCATAGCTCAGCTCCAGTTGTCTTTTATATTCCCTTAGATTTTTCTCACCATCAGTAATGAACCCCCAAAAGCAATGGTGTTGGATCCACTATTGGCCCAAGAGCGGCCACGATTATGAGTCACATAAACCGTAGCACCCTTGCGCAGAGTCGTCATATACGTAGAGAGATTCCCAACTGAGTTGGAGCCCTGAACATTACTATGGGACACAGCCACCCAGTAATTGTTAACAACAAGCCATAGATCAGTTTCCCCACTCCCCCCAGTCTGTGTGGAGAAGAAGAACTGATAGACGCCTGAAACAGGAGCTCTGAAGATCCCGGAGCGAGAGTCGAAAGCCCCGCCTTGATTCACATACACTTTCCTGTACACGATCTTGTTCACTTTTCCTGAGATGTTGCCCGGGTAGGTTGCAAAAAAATGGATGTTTGCTTTCACTACAGATCACAAGTAAAGAAAATATGTCATTATTTTTATTAAAAGCTTGATTATTGTAATTATAATAACAACAGTTCACAGCATTCATTCAATGATTAATAATGAAGAGAAATGACTCACCTCTCATTTGGTTTTTCTTACACAACCAGGTGATTTTGTCTCTACTGACGCAAGACTCAGTTTTTTTGCACTTTCCACAGACAAGTGTGTTAATGTCTGAAAGGATGATGTGCAACAGTCAATATACAATATTCTTTTTTTTTTTCCTAAAACATGAGTGCATCACATCTTACCTGCACAATATGCCAAATGGCAAGCTACCGGTTTAACAAACTTGTAGACGTAGTAGTTTCCCCGACATGCTTTGACTTGAATGGGAGGGGATTTGAACAAACAGCAGTTGTCTCTCCAGTTTCCACACACTTTGCGAGTGACCACTCCGTCTCGCACCCGGGGGTGACCTCCGACCAGCCACAGCGGAGCGTGCGTGCCACACATTTCTTTCCTCACGCACCTCTCAGGCATCTGGATGGTTTTCCCACGGTAGAAGAGACGGTACCAGCCCTTCCACTGGACACGATTGTCACAAACAACATTCTTGGTGCTGTAGTTTGTAGCTCTCCAGGCTTGGTCCAACACGGTATAGTGAAAGCAGGGGTCAAGGTCTGCGCCACTGTCATCCTCACCGGATCCTTCGACTCTATCTTCACCCTGGGTGAGGTACAGCAGATGGTTGCTGCCTAACAAAGACAAATACAGTCCTTTATAAAACACACCCGAACACACATTTCAAAAAAAAAAAAAAACGCCTTTTTTAATTATGTGGATAGTATAATGTAAAAAAAAATCACTGACTTCAATTTTTTAAATACAATCAACTTTAAATGAAGTTTATAACTTTAAATAATAAAAAGGTTCCCTTCATCTCAGTGGAAGATTTTGTGGCTTTTCACACATTATCTATTTATATACACAAAAAACTGGGATGATTGGGTTGTATGTAAAAAAAAAAATGTTTACACTTCTGGTCTTTGGGGTCAATATGACCCCACATTGAAATGAAGAAAAAAAAATTAAATATATTTTCGTCATGTGTCAAAAAAAAAAAAAATCCAGCATAAATCTGACAATTTGTACACAGAAATGAAGGCCTAATACTAGAGCATAAATGCAATGTATCATAAAAAAAAATATTTCATATGCAAGCTAATGGTGTAGTTGTGTGGTATATGGATACAAAAGTACTTTATATCTCCAAAAACACAGCATTAATGAATAGATGAGAAGTAAACAAAAAAATGATATATTATTTGTATGACCCCGAAGCCCAGAAGTGTAAACAGAAAACAAAGACCTTTTGAAGGTTAAATAAACCATAAAGAATAGTTTATCAAAACAACTGACCAGTTTGTAGTGATGTCAAATTCATCTCCACGTCTGTATCAATAGGTTTCTGTGAACAGTACGGTAATGCCTACAACAAAACAAAATAGTTTATCTCACGTAGGATGAATCCTTATACTTCAGCCATATATTGAGATTTAATCTGTGAGATCCAGTGAGACTGATAAGAATACTTTCAGCAAAAAGACAGTAATTATCAAATTTAATATTACCTGGCTCAAGGCTTCTTGCTTTTGTTTCATTACTACTTGTTCATGTTTCAAGCTTTCCATCTCCTAAATAAATACACAGGTAAGAAAAATGATATTTATGCACTCTTCCTTTAGAAATGTAAACATTTAGGATACCAAATCACTTTAAAGGCACCACTACCTTATACACAACAGCAAGTTGCTCCTGCAATTGTTGGTCAACCATATTCCAAGCTCTGAATGGATACTGGAAGTGCAATGAAACAACGTGAAATAACATTTGCACATACTGTACTGCAGTAATAATGTAAGAAAATTGTAATGTAATGTTGGTCTTATTTTATTCATAACATTAATTATATTAACTAATTTGATCATACAGTACTTACTGAAATATCTCTGTTCTCAGTGTCAGCTACACATACAACCAGTACCACAAACACTTGGATGCATAAGGAAAGCATCTAAAGGTTAAAACAAAACAAAAAGCTGCATTAGATTGTATTATTTATCTATATAGACATTATTAAAAATAAAAATAAATAATAATATAAAGTATATTTAAAATTGGATTTGCTATCAGGTTAATTTGCCTCAATCACGAATGCAAATTCTTTGGATTTACAGGTAATTTAGTGATTTGGTCTAAGTGATCTATGTTTATTTGTTTTTTGTTTTTTTATAAATGATAAACATCTGCAGCTTACCTTTTCACAGAGAGCAGATCTCTATGCGTTATGCAAGTCAACTATATAGGATAGAGTTTATATGCAGAAGTGGGGTTGGACACTACAGCCCAGCAGAAGGAAGTTTCTGGTCAGACTTTCACACTAACATGTTCTTACATGAAACTCTGGTGACACTGTTCACAAATAAGGTGCTAACTTGCACATGAAAAGTAGCCACAGGCAGTTTTTGGGCTCATGAGGTCAGCAGAAAATGTTGTGAAAAAATGTATTTGCATATATTCATGCAAAATATTATTAAAATAAGTTCCTTGGAATAAGTTAAATGAGTTAAAATTATTGGTAGAAATATGTGCAATGTTAAAAAAAAAATCAAGAAAATGTATTAAAATATGTTTTGAAAGGAACAAGGTCAAGGCTAGGCCAGTATTTTGAAACTAAACCTTGAGCATTTGGAAAAGTTATTTAGCTTTTTGTGATCGACTAGGTTTTAGTCATAATTTACCAAGTTACCAATTACTTACTCTAACATTGCAATTTTGCGATTTAACAAAGTTGTTTGACTGTTATAGTTTTTGCCTTTTCAAGCATCATTCTGAAACCACATGACAAGTCTCTGGTTATAGCAAAAAATATGTTTTGCATCATCAGCATATAGTGATAAGATCTTAACTCCATTTTGTGCAAAAACACATTATGTTTTATAGCATATCTTAAAAAGCACTTCAAATCTGATTAGCTTAAAATGGTGTGTTAGTAGTTCAAATTAACATTGGACTCCTGAAAAATAAATGAGATTGCTTTCACATGGATTGCTTAAACATGGTGGGGAAAATATGTCCATTCAGGAAGAATCAAAGAGGAATAATAAAGTATATATGATAGTTAGTAGAAAATAGTTTCGTGGAAAAGATGATCTGTGACTGGTCTGTGAGTTAGATGCGCTTGCTATGACTGGTGGAAATGCAACAGCCAGTGTCTGTGTGCAGGATGCAAGGATCTGCAATAACGAAAGCCACCACTAGGTGGAGACCTCTAACCTATTTTAAAACATTGGGGTTGTATAAGTTGGACAGGAACAAATCTGGTAGAGATATAAGCCTACACTTTAATTTACAATAATGTTAAATTCACTAGTCTAGATCTCATTATTGCCAGAGGTGATTAACTGAAAATAAAACTAAAATTAAAACCATACAAAAATATATATTTTTGTTACCTGAATTAAAATTAAATATTTTTAAAAAGTATTTTATTATAAGTCTAATCACTGTATTTCAGCTAATTTCCCATTTTATATTTAAACTTGATATAAAAAACTAAAGCTGAAATAAAATGAATAAAACAATACTACATGATCATCTGGAGAATACATGCTCTTGTTTTTGAGTACCCCGTGAACTTCATTATTTTTATGGTACTGAATCTGCATGTTATGTTACAGTATGTATGATACATGTATAACTAATGTATCAATGTACTTAGAGGGCTTGTATGTGAGGAGATGGTTACAGAGAGCTAATGCTGGTATGAATGTGAAGTATTATGTTATACAACCTGTTGTCTGTATTCATGTTTGTTCTTAGGATCCCCTCCAAAACGAGATGGTACATCTCAAGGGGCTTTCCTTTCCATTAAATTTTAATTTTAGAGAATATATTGACATTATTTTAAAAAAAAAATCTAAATGAGAGACAAACACACACAACAAAACTATCTAAACTTTAACCGAAATTAAAATGAAAACAGAAAACATAATTATAATCAAGAAATATATAATAAATATTAATATAAACTATAATAGAATCTCAATGATGCTAAAATTACATTGTGATATTGTCTTAGGATTTAAATTTTTATTCTGTTGCATTTTATATTGTGTTGTATATTTCACTTTGTAGCCTATTATAGCACATTTGTGTGTGTCTGTGTGTGTGTGTGTGATCTTGTGAGAAGCCTACTGATGCTTTGGCAATATTGTATAAAACAAACATCCCGATAAAGTACTTATTTGTCATTGTAAAAAAACAAAATCAAACCAGTTTAATGAGTAAAATTGGAGTAATGTGTTTCACTGTCTAATTAAGTGCCAAAAGTCCTTCCGTTTAAATTGCATCCAATCTTATCTCATCTGGGCATAATAATACAGTGTTTTGTTCTCAATCCTTAACTGTAGCAACATACCACACCATTTGGTAATATATTAAAATACTTGGCAGCAACCTCAGCTCTCACTGTCAACAGAGAAATGAGCAGTCGACTGTGTGGATTAGATAAGACCAGTCCAGTCAGTACAATAGTCCACCCAGGCAAACAATGTTCAAGTTTTGATGTGAAGCACTGGCCCTTTACATAAGCAAGAGACATCAGTAAACCGCCCTGGGGAATGACAGGCAAGCTAGAAAGAGAACAGCCACCTGGACAATCCCATTACAGCCTGTTGTGCACTGTGATATGTTTGCATACATTACTCACCCCCCGACCCCATACATCTCCACTCACCCGCAGAGCAACACGTACACGCCATCATTTATAGCCTTCTCTGAGGGCTGTAGTGTACTTTTCCTATCATGGTTCCTGGAACCGCTCTTTGCTATACTCGCACGTCTCTGTAGATTCTAGCGCATGATGGCTCAGTCTTTAACAGCTGCATAACAGGGCACTCTATAGGGGAAGTCATCTGTGACTGTCTCTTTTTTAATACTAGATAATCATGCCTTCTGAACCTGTGTGGCGCTTTAAAAACAGTAGTGACCAAAAGTGATGTCCAGCCTAGAAAAAGCATCCCAATATTATTACAAATGTGTTAAAGATTTTGTAAGCATATTGAGTAAATGTGCTTAGAGTTAACTGTAGCTGTTTCGCACTATTTTTAGCTTAGCTGTTATACGAAGAAATTATGAACATGCAAAAAAAAAAAAGGGAGAACCAACCAATTATTAATAGATGATTATATTGCATCAACATATGATTTTCCTGTGAACTTTTTTTTTTTTTTTTGGCATAGTAATTTAAAATTGGCTAATTAAAAAGTTGTTCCAAACCAAAATAACATTCCCTCAAATGGAATGTTTGAAATGTTTTTCTCCAAACAATTAAAGTCAGTGGGGTCCAAAACCACATCTGTTCATTGTATGGACAAAAACATTGAGACATTTTTCAAAATATCTTCTTCTGTTTTTTATTGAAGAAAGAAAGTCATACAGGTTTATGACGACATAAGGGTGTGTAAAAGCCTGTTCACACAAAAATAATAATAACGATAACTACATTAGCATCCATGACAACTAAAGACTGGCAGGAAACTACAGGAACAAAAATCAAACAAACATAGGAAACTGGTATCTGACGAATACAAACTAAAAGTCGATGAAAACGACAACAAACACAGATTGTGACCAACAGACAATAACGCTCTGTTTATTATATTCGACTCTTAATGTATTAAATACAGAGTTTTTAAAGTCAAGAGGATTAGTTGTCCTTATTTGTTAGTAAACTAACTTTAAAACTTTAAGTGCTTTTACTTTTTTCATAATTATGATTTACCAAAGCATGTTTTTTAGGTGGCAAAAATTGTTTTCCATACTTAATGGTCCACATTAGTTTCTGTCTCAGTGCCAAGCTGCTGTATCCCATTTTCTGTGAGTTACTACTTTATCAGAGAGTGTGGACCACTCAAACATACTGAATATGTGAAGAAGCTATGATTGCTCAAAAATGATAAGTAATTAGATAGGTTATCACATTGATTTATAGTTTACCGAGGCCTAAACCATTGCAGAGGCTCCTGCATGTAAACAAGCCATCCTCATATGGAGTAGCTCATAGCATGTGCTTTATGGAATGTGGTATGTATTGTAAGAGGAGCACTTGTTTATCAAGCAGTCAATCCATCAAGAACGCAGTCTCTACAGACGAAATGATCCTGACGTTATTTTCACATTTAGCAGGAACTAATTTAGTTCTATCCCCGCACATCTGATTTGCTAAGTCCGTTGTTTCTTCCGTACGTCATGTTCCATTCATGCCAACTCACTTTCCATGTAACCTCTGCTCTGATCTTAAAAGGTATGTTGTTTACTATGAAATGTAACCTCTGCCTTACTGGGCAAAGGATCAATGTGTGTAGTATCTCAATCCACACCTGTCAATCATGTTTGTCCTCTCTATAATCCATCCTTGCACTAATAAAACCATCAATATAGTTCAGAGTACATGTTGACTCATAAATGACTCCCATTAACAACATAAGTGACAAAAAAATTTTTTATTTCAATTCTATACTCATCATTTGCTTTAGATGGAAAACATGTTACAAAAATAAAGTTTAGATTTTCTGGAATAACACGACAAAAACATAAATACACAAAATATGGTCCTTACATGTAAGGTAACATGGTGCAAGTTCAAAGCAGATGGCTGATTTAATACAGTAAACATGCTCTCAATAGAGCAGTCTTAAAATTAGAAGCTCTGATTTCATGCTGTATAATATTCACAGAGAACTAGTGGCCAAAGGCCCACAAATCTGAAAAAGGCAACAGCTGAGCGAAGGTCCTAGAGTTGACAAATTATCTTCAGTCGATGAGGTATCTAAAATGCTTCAGCATGTTTAAGAATAAACATGCACAAAACACTGTGTTTGAAATGATCGGTGTATTTCAGTTGTAAGTGTTTCAAGTTTAAATCAATGAGTTAATTGGTATATTCCAACAGATCCCATCTAGCACCTTCAATTTAAGTGTGAAGAAAATACTAGGGGACATATTGGCCACACACTAATACAGATACAATTATGGCCTCTATGATCTCTTTCTCTCAGCATTTGGCCATTCGGAGTATGAACACTCCTACATTCAGCAATCAAACTCATTTAGTTACAAGCGTTCCTTGATTTCAGCATTACTACTGCAGTGGAACATGTTCTTCTAGCACACTCTTACATAAGTGACACATCATAGGCTGCATTTGGATTTTTATCACCCAATTTTGGCCCTTATTTTTTGATTTTATGTGCTTTTAACTTTTTTGGCATAAGCCTGTTGTCACTTTCTGGTTCCAATAACTTGTCTAGACGGCCCTTGTCTGCTAACACAGGCTTTAGAAAGTAAATTGACCATCTGGCTCACTTTTCCATACTGGAACGTCCACTAAACAGGCTTCCGATAAAGGATTATCTTCATAGTTCAACTTCATATGAGTTAGTATGGTCTGCAGGTAACACTGTGGCAAAGCCTAGTTTCTCAACTAAAAAAATGATATGATCAAGTTATGGTGGTGGTGCAGAGGAAAACCATTGCATGCAACAACTACGGTATTGCTGTGAGACTACACGGCTTCACAGTGAGTAGAGACTTGGGGCTCTGCCATGTCCTTTCCCATTCACTCATGTCAGAAGGTCAGATAACTGTCCTATTTCCTTCCTGGAGGCTTCATGCTTCTTTTCACTTGGCCAGTCTGAACCTGGCCAGGTCCAGTGGCTCTCGACTGGGAACGCACCAGTCATCTGCCCCCTGCGTGACCTCGTAGTTCCGTCGAGCTGTCTTATTAAACACAGGGAGCCTTTCGACTGAGTCGGTGGATAAAGCCTGAGGGAAAAACATTATGTAATCTGTTAGAACACAACACAAAGCATTCTAAGTACTCTCATTTACAACAAGTTCCTAGCATTTTTAAACGCGTTCCAAAGACTTTAAAGCAGTGGTGTCAAACTCAGTTCCTTGGGCAATTTCATTCATAAATCCTTTCCTGTGGCCTCATGGGATAGTAAAGTGTCAATCAAATGCACACTCCAGAATCTGTGCGGAAGTAGTAGGTTATCCAGGTACTTTTCTACTACTCTTTTGCCGTACTATTTTCAACATACAATATAGCAGGGAAGTATTTGATTTTGGACACAGCCCCAAAAACGTCCAGGCAGATGTTTTACTCTTGCTAAACTCTTTAGGACAGGTGTGGAGTTTGACACATGTGCTTTAAAGGGATAGTTCCAAATCTATCAATAGTATCGTTCCAAACCTGTCAACATTGAACCCCATTGATTTTTAAATCTATTGACAAAAATGCAATATAAGATACATAACTATGTGGTCAGTGGTGTATAAAGACCTTACTCAATGAACCGTTATGTTTTTATTACTTTAGAATGAGACATTTCTATCTACATAACCGCGGGCATCCCCTTCTAAATCTACACACTGCACCTTTAATTGCATGGACAAAATCAAGTCATTCAGGTTTGGAGCTCCACAAATAATGGAATGACGGAAATAATGACCTCATTTTCATTTTCTGAAAATTTACCGAATTTTCATTTTTAGGTCAACTATTCCTTTAAGAAGGTTTTAAATGTACCTTCAGGTGAATGACCGCATCAGTACCATGGCCCTCCATAGAGTAGAGCTGGAGGTCCCCCTGGAAGTACTTGGCATAAAGTCGAGAAATGGGCAACCCATAACCAAATCCAGCCTGTGGACAAAAGGAAGATATTATTATAAAGAAGCAGTGTTATTTTTTTCTTTGATACTTTTTAGTTTTATTTATATTTTGCATTATGCATTTTATGCATTTTCATTTTAGTTAATGTTTAGTAATTTTGTTGTGTTTTTTTTTTGTCATTTTTTGTTTTTTGTTTTTATTGAATATGTCTGTATAGTTTTTATACACTTTTATTTTAGTATTAGTTTCAGTTATTTTAATACATGTAGTTAAACTGAAAGAAAATGAGAAATGTTGCCTTGGAAAGCTGAAATGAAATGAAATTAAATGTTTTATTTCAGTTAATGCTTATTTTATTTCAGGTAACAAGAATATTTTTTAATTTTAGCTTTAGTTAAAGGAGTTGTAACCCACCACTTAAAAATTAGCATTCTATCATCATTTACTCACCCTCAAATTGCAGCAAACCTGTATTCATTTCTGCTGAACACAAAAGAAGATATTTTGAAGAATGCCGGAAACCAAACAGTTGATGTACCTACTACAGTATGCATGTCCATAGTGAATGTTCCTACTATGGAAGTCGATGGGGTCCATCAACCGTTTGGTTACCAATTTTTTTAAAAATATCTCAGAAGAAAGAAATTCATACAGGTTTGAAACAACTAGTAGCAGGGTGAGTAAATGACAGAATTTTCATTTTTTTAGTGAACTACTCAATTATAATAAGTCTGTGAAGAGGACCATTTAAATTATATATCTTGCAATTCCATTTGTATTTTATGAATAATGTGGTGAAGTCTCACCAGGGGAGCCATTTTTTTCTCATCCATCTGGGGTGTTGGTGCTGTGGAGTACATGTAACTGAAGAGATTCTCTATCTTTCTGAAAGGAACTCCACCACCTCGGTCACTCGTCTACAATGACAAAGAAGACGTTGTTAGAATAAAAACTAGAAAAAAAGGGAGAGAAAAATAATGGTAGAGTGAATTAGGGCACAGAGAGAAAAAAACTAGGCTAACAGTGAGAGGGAGACGCAAGACCAACAGACAGGCACTGGTCGTGATTTTGACCCCTGGACACAACTGTTTAGCAAGTGAATGACTCAAATAAGGATTGTCAACAAGGTCAGTCAGCTCTCATGTACTGTGTTATGCAACAGCAGGTGTTTCACTGATAGGATAATGACTAATAGCTTCAGTTACATCACACTACAATTAATATGGTGTCAGTGAACTGACAAATCCTATGAACTTTTTCTGAGTTTAACACATTAATGAGAATTTATTGGAAATGTGCATAATTGACATGAAAATGTCTAATCTATTTTATACTATTATTATTTGTCTACAAAAAATTATGCTTGTTCAAATTAAAAGTCACCTTGATAGTGAGGTCCTCTCCTCCTATGGCCACCATAACATGAATGGGTGGAAGATTACTGCCTTCTTTATGGTTCTCAATGGTCGCCCTCATTGCATTCTGAGGAAGAAACCATGTCGTCATGACAACATTCAGATCTTACGTAAACAGTATTGTTTCAGGGCAGAATATGAGATGGGCTACAGCTCACCTTGAACAGTTCAAATTGCATATGGTACAGATGGGAAGGCACATATACAATGCTGATAGGCTGGTTCCTGTTGTTAGCTGTAAAAGGAACATAGATATATAGATAGGAATATAGAATATAAATATAGATTTAAAAATATACTGTGATTTTACTTGGTATTAACATGAACATAATGATATTTATCTGATCTTACTGTTGAGTTCCTGAAGTACCAGGTCAGGTGAGCAGAGGTAGTACTGATAACACAGCATCTTGGCACTTTCATATGCATCTACATGAAAAATGTGTTGACATAATAGATATTAGATACATATAAGTGTGTATTGACTAAACAGATGGGTCACTGATTTTAAATGGTTTGTTAACCCAACTACCCAACCTCATCTTCAGAACACAAATGAAGATCTTTTTAATGAAACTTGAGAGCTTTCTGTCGCTCCATTGACAGCAAAGCAAATACCACTTTGACGCTTCAAAACATTTGTAAAGAGATTGTAAAACAAATCAATATGAATTGAGCGGTTTAGTCCAAATTTTCTGAACGTCGCTTTGTTTGACGAAAAGATTGAATTTAGACTTTTATTTACATATATTACGGTGTGGTAGTTGCGTAGGCTGTCAATGGAGGAACAGCAATTCAGAATTTAATTTAAAATATCTTAATTTGTGTTTCAAAGATGAACCCAAGTCTTACAGATTTGGAATAAGGGTGAGTGATTGATGACATAATTTACCCACGCATACATGTTTGTGGATTTTATCAGATTTTTTCACACTATACCTTTAATAACGTCAGCCACCTGACAATGAGGGTCTATACAGCCAATGGTATTGGGGTGAACTGGATTTGTGGCTCCATCAAATACAAGAGCTAAAAAAAAACAGAGAAAATAACATAAATACAAGCAATTTAAGAAGCACTGATGCTCAGAGGTATTATTTGGCCTTAATATTGTGCTTACTGTGCTGGTTTATTAGCATTCTGATGGATATCCGGCTCAAGTAGAGACGATCCAGGAAATACTCAATATTCTGATTAGTGACTGGATCTTGACCAAATACTTCTTTATATTCAATTACACCTTGGGCCATAGTGGGTACAACATCATTGTGCCTGTTTCGGATGTTGACCAGAGCATCCACAAACCTGTGTGCAGAGTCAAGAGTGTTAAAATGTGCAATGAACAAGGAAAGAAATATGAAGTGTACATAGTTTGACAACAAAGCATATTTTTATAACCAAAATAATTTTTATGATAATGATTAGACAATCCTTTCAATTCTCAATACAATGCATTTTTTTGTTAACTTAACATTAAACACCCTGATGCATTATACTCATGAGAATTTTAGTTGGAAAATGTGCTTACAGTAACTGCCATGAAAATAATGGCAAACAATGCAAAAATCTTGATGGTTGTAAAACATGCTTCTAAATGTAATTTCTTGTTTTACTTTTGATTTTGAGGGCAATAAGATGTTTTCATGAAATTATGAAATTTACAGAATTAATTTCTACTTACTCTTCTAACACACTGTGGTCATCTGGACTTTTCTCCAGGAATTCCAAGATCTCCATCAAACTTTGAGTATACCTTAGAGCACAAAAAAGCAATATGATTTGAATGTATGCCAATAAATGAAAAAAAAAAAAACTTTGGGAAACAAGCTTGTCCAGAAAATCTTCTGCTAACTTCTTTGCAGAATCATTGTGACACAATGTAGGCCTATATTTAGTTCATTTAAGGAAATTATAATTAATTATAATACAAACTGCAAATCGGAGATTTCAGTTAAAATGTGAGATAAATGTATTGCACCAAATGGATGCAATTCATAAAAACATATGACCAAATATCTGTGGAAAAACAACCATTTAACAGTTGCATACTATGCATATTAATGGCAGACTGTTTTGTTTTTGCTATTCCTAAGTTTCCACTCTTCCTAAAAGGAAAAACAAGGGTAAGTGTGACGCGTTAAAGCACGAGGTAGTGAAAGTGGGACAAAGTTCACAGCCCCTTCTTGAAGAAGTAGCTCCCACACCCTGACGTAGGGTGTGGGACAAAGTTCACATGCTTTACTACAACGTAACACAAGTTTGAATTTGGCCTAGTCTCAATAGACCGCAGTGTTTTCGTATCATACTAAAAATAAACACCACGTCTTTGGAAATCTAATCGCCTTTTAAACAATCTGTCGTTTCTACAGCAATACTAATCTTGGTAGATGCGTGTACTGTATACAGTAAAATGTTGTATAACTCACCAGCTGTGAACCATTTGTACAGAAGGTGTGGTAAGTAATCTTTTAGGGAGCAAGTTAATTTCTTTCATGATGTTTGACAGTCGTACGGGCAGCTCTTGTCTCAGGAAAGCAAAAGACGTCTTCTCACATGCATTCGTGGAACCTGGACAAATACAACATGTAAAAAAAGATGTTTGGCACGCCGGTCACAGAACACAATATTGTATAATAAATACAGATATTAGTTCGGGACTGAAATGTATGCACGTTGTTCATAATGCAATTAAACAGTCAATAAGTCATATATATTCATAAACATGGCAGTGGTGCAATAGCAAAGCCAACAGCAGTTAAATGATGCAACCAACAACCAGTATTAACAACAGCAGTGATTTGAACATTCCCGAGTCATTAGCGCGAATCGGATCTTTCGAATCGTTTCAAAGAACCAGTCCAGAAAATAGATTGAGCAACTACTACGTCATCGCGTTTTCTCTGATGTGCTTTACAATTTTCTAATAAAATATTATGTTGGAAAATATAGCAATTTATTGCATTTTTGTCGTCGATTCAATTGCATTAAAATGGATGTTTAATTTAATGTATGATGTCCAGTTCAGTTTGTTTCAGCCATTTAAACGTAAACATTACTAACAATTATTTACATCTCCTACCTGAATTGTTTGAGTGGTTTAATAAAATGTTACTTTATTTAAAAAAAAAAACTAAATAATAATAATAAAAATATGATCACGTAAAAAAAATAAAAATAAAGTAGGCTTATGTTTTATTTAGCATTTTTGCTATAAGTAATTTGGCTTTCAACCCATCAGTCCTTGATTCACTCCAAAATGCTCTTACTATCCCAAGTTCTATTTCAAATTAGGGAGATGATGATTCAGTCAGATTTGTAAATGTATCGTTCAGTCATTTTCGTAAACAAATTCAGACTGATTCTGTAAGCCGAGTCAGCAGATTCACTGAAAAAGATCCGAATCAAAAGAACAATTTTGTTCTCGAATCGCATTGCTACAGATGAGCAGTATCAAATAATTTCAGCATCCGGTAGATGTAAATTGCACGAGCAACTACATAATCATGCACGTAATCATGAACAGATTGCATAATAATGATGCCATGATAAAACTGCCTATTCTGCAACTGACTACGTAAACACGAGCACTTCCATTGGCGATAGACAGCGCCTATACTCAGGCCATAAAGGTATTTCTTGTCAATCTAGGGATGCAAATGATTTCAGACACGAGCAAATAACACAGCAGAAAAAGGACTCACCAAAATCGAGAAACTGTTTCATGGAAAGTGGAGAAGGTGAAAATTTAGAGAAGTGTTCGATGTGATGAGGCGCATTGGCCAAAGCCGCATTCTTCATTATAAACCTGACGAACTTCATTTCGATGATTGGTTTGAAATTGAGATATACCAGATGTAGCAGCTGCAGAGATCCAGTCTTATCAATAGCTATGATGTTTATAATGCATGCACTGCACTGCCCTGTATATGACGGTCTATATCGGCAGCTGTTCTCCCAAGAACACCCAATAGCCAATCAGAGACCGGGTTTACTATTACTACTCCAGATCCGTCCAATAGCATGTGTGGAGACTTAAATAAGCATCAAGTGAGGACATAAACACGTGAATATAGTCCTCGACCACTGTTGTTTTCGTCCTGAAGAACTGTTCTTTACATCATGAACTGTAATGATCATAATGAAAACAATTAAAGCTAAATTAATATGCTTATCAGAATGTAAAACATTCGTTTGAGCACATTAGTTTATGCCCCTGCCTTCATAAAACCAAGAGCAAAAGTTACAACCCGTGGTGTTGACTTAATTACACTTTATTCAAGTCATTTAAATTCGAATGATTCAATTTGAATCAAGGTATAGCAGTTACGATAAATGTATGAAAACATTATGAAAATGTTGTTAGGCTAAAACTTCTTTTGAACTTTACTCCAATATTATACATAATATAGGCCTAATGTTAATCCAAAGTTTTTTGTTTTGAATGGTGAATGCGTGTTTGAGACTGTGCCAAATCCATTCTTGCATAACCAGGTCAGTCTCGATAAGAGGCAAGTCATGCATATTTCACTCTCTCCTTCCAGCCAGCAGTCAGCTGAGTAAATCAGAGGTTCCCTCCGTTTTTAATTTGAGCTTAAATGTATAACACATGCCTATCTTTAAATGAATCTTAAAAAAATGAACAAACTGAGATTAGTCTGCAGATTTCCATCATAATTATGGGTTATGCAGTGACTCATTGGATGATTTATCTCAATTGAGACCTAGATGAATCAATAATTTTTGCAGTGTAGCGGCTCTTTCCATGATTAAATCATGACAAATAACGTTTCCCATATGTTCAGCTATACATCTCCACACCACACTTAGCAAGTTATCCAAGGCGCCACTTTGTGGTCAGTGTTGGAATATTTGATCTAACCTTCCACCACCAATGGGGAGTAAACCTGTTATTTTAGAGCAAGGGTGGGCTTGAGATTTACGTTCCTCTAGTAAGCTGCAGGCAGATACATTTTCTCAGGTTTGGAGATAAACTCTGCAGGAAAGAGGATCTTTAGGGCCAGAGTTGCCCAGCCATGTTCATTACATGTGGTGTTTCTGTTTAGAGAGAGAAAACAATCGGTTAAATGTTATAGTGAAACCATAGCTGTTAAAACAGTTTATTTTGCACTGAATGCTATTTGGCTCTATAGTTTTAAAATGCATGATGGAGTCCATTGCAGTGTACTGTTTTATTGGCTAAATTAATAATAAAAGATCAGTTCAATCAGTCAATTTATTTACCTGAAACTGTGTTATCTAAACTCCAAAGCAACTGTCTATGCAGTATGCAGTAGTGATTGTACATCAATTAACACCTGGGGACCTGGGGAGAAGAAAACATGCCCAGTGGAAATTTCCTTTATAGTCAGACACGGGTCATTGATGTGCTGTTTGCGTCTATGAATGGAACAGCTTAGAGCAAAATGTCAAACTCGCTCTCAAGCCATTTCTTTTCAGGAGCTATTTTCAGGAGCTAAGTAACAGATTCCACACAAATCATTTTAAATTACTTTTAGATGCAGATTTGATTCTCAAAAGCATATATTTAATATCTAAAGAACTTTTTTGATTACTAAATTCTAAAGATTTTGAACTTTTAAGTTAAGTTACAGTATACGGCATGTACTCTCACAGACCCCTGCCATAAAACACGAATGCTACAAATGCTAAATATGTGATTAAAAAAAAAAGTCTAAATAATATGCATAATTCCTTACTACATACATAAATATGCCAATGTGAGATTACACAGTATTCATGGAGGCAATACCAAGATGACAGCTAATCTATAATGTATAACCAGATACTTTAGATGGAAATGTACAGTGTATAAATAAAAAAATGCGTAAAACTGGTCAATAGCCAAGATTTTGTCTAAAATGTAGCTTACTGCATACTGAAGTGCCCCTATTGTATTTCAAATACCTTTCATGTGTGCAATATAGCTGTTTTGAATGTAAAAGGTCTGCAAAGTTTCAAATATCAAAGTGCACGACAAATAAAGTTATCTCCTACAAAAAAGAATAGATTCTGAACTGCTGAAAGAGCCATCAGCAAACTTCCCGTAATTCATAACAATGTAACACATTTGCAATACCTATGGTTTTCATTGGCTGCCTGTGAACGATGTCTACTTTAACCTGCCAAACACTGTAGTTGTAGCTGAGGCCTGGAATTGTTGTTGATATGTTGAGAAGACTCTGTTTTCAGTGCTGTGAATCCAATTTGCATGCACTTCAAAAGGATGAGGACTTGTGTGGGAGTTGATAGGGAAAAGCCCTACTGTGTATCAAGCACAGAGGAAGTCTCCAGAGCTGAAATTCAGATATGGGAAGAGGTGTTTTGTTTCCGAAATGTACAACATGCGCTGTAAGAGGTAGATCAATCATAACAGACTTTGCCGTCTGACCAATCAGAGCAGATATGTTCAAACTGCAAGCCTTAATGCTCAATTCAGATCTGATTTATTTGAATAGCTGTGCGCATTGCTGTTTTGAATGTGGCTAATCAGATTCCAGTGTGAACAAATCATGGTCCTGAACTGACCCACATGCTCAAAAGAAGAATAAAAAGACTTTATGCAGCGCACTGTGACGTGGTGTGATCATTTATTGTGTGATCTGCTACAGAACCAAGCAAATTTATGTGCAGGCAATATTCAAATTTAAGATGAGAATGTGAAAAAGAGAGTAGAGTTTTAAACATGATGTTTTGCTTTTATATAGAGCTGTGTAATGTAATGTAATGTAATGTATAATAACTTTGGGTAGCCTGTGTAAAATGTGACTTCCATGTGCGGAGAATTGTGACGAATGTTTCTCTCTAGAGTGATGAAAAGTCGCATGAATTCTAATATTATCGTTCAAACCGAGGTCACGTTGCAAAACATCAGACCTGCTGTATCGGATGTAGTACCACACATCTGGAAGTGTCCCAGATCAGAATCGAAAGTGTGGTTTGTCACACTGTCATGACAAAAACAGATCTGAGTCACGTAGAATAAAAAAAAAATATGAATATGAAAACAAATAAAAAATATCAGAATTGGGCCACATTGAAAAATGGAAAGCTAGAGTTGTTGTTGTTGTTGTTTTACCTTGGATGCATGTAAACTTATTGAATTAGACCACAAAGAACAAAATGAGGAACCTTTACAATAGCATATCATATACGTAGGGGCACTTGAATTTCTTGTTTATTGTATAAACTACTGTATAGGATCAATATAACACATATTCATGCTGTTGAACTGAATATGTCCTGCTAATATCAATCACAATAATGGATGCCTATATGTGATATGATTTATTTTAATGTTCTTGTTGGGGTCAAACTGATCCCAAAATAAATAATGTTCTGCTTTGTGTTAAAAGGGTTGCAGCTCCATATATATATATCTCTATTGAGGCTTCTAATTAGGTCAGATGAAAATATAAGCGTTTGAGAATGGACAATAACAGGTTAATATACTATATGATTATTTCTACTCGCACAGGAGGAGTCTCTCCGAAACAACCAGGAAGTAAAGCCCATCTAAACAGGACATGAGGGTTAGGTCTATCGCTGTAGTGCCTGACTCTGTCGCTGATGTTGTCTATTGAATCTTCAGCCGTGGCGCTCAAACTCTCTCTGATTCCTCACTGAGAGCATCTGAACCAGCGACAACAGCGGAGAGCATCAGGCTCATACAATTAACCAACACTGGGGTTCCTGGCCCTTCACTGAAGACATGTCAGCAAAGGACGGATCTAATCACAGTGAGTGCCTCTTTCCTTATTTTTCATGTAATATGTGTTGTATGCTCGGAGTATTGCAGTGCGGGTTACATCATTTCGCGCTTTACAGTGGCAAACAGCGCACAGCCATGTTTTACAGAGTGCTCTACAAATGTCCGTGTAAATACAACGCAAGGCGAAAAGGGAAGCATTACACGTTCAATATTCATTAACATATTTTCATATAGCATCTCTTCGTTTGTCTAAATAAATAGGCTATGGGAACGGGCTGTTTTTGAAACAAAGGGAGACGTTTGCGGTTTGACATCAGCATTGCTGCAAGTAGATCGTCAAAAGCAACACAAAAAAACTGTTCTGGAATGGATATGAAACACGGCGAAATAACGACCCTTGAAATTATATTTAATGATTTATCTCACGCGGTCAATATGATTGGCCTCATTCAATTTTACGCAAAATATAACCCATTGGGAGAAATAACTGTGGATGGTGTGTTTTGTCCCGTACAACACTATAAATAACTTTTTTCTTACTGTAGAGCTCTCATGCATGAAGGATGATGTTCAAGATTACATTCCAACACACATTTTTGTCATTTATTTGAGGAAAGGTTTATGTTAATATGATACATTAAAATCGATCGGAAAATGTTTGAAAATAGAACACTTTAGCCATGAATTAATATATCTTTGGCATCATCAGCAGGTTCGCTGTGTTGTGTACTGATGAAACAACAATAGTCCCTGCACAACGCGCATTATAGTTAGCTGACGTGGCGAGTGATCGTTATAATCCCACTTAATATAATTGTTTCAAAGCATTGAATTGTCCAGTGCTGACAGTCTTTAATTCTTAAACTACTATTATAAAACTGATCAGACACTATACATATTTTCAATTATGTCCAGGTCGTCTGTTTTGTGGGTTCGCAGACGGTCATTTGTTACGATGCACTGGACAGCTCCAGGTGCTGAACCGTTTTAAAAAGTGTGATTGCTTACCTTTGATTAAAAGGAATCACATGCTCAGAATTTGGTAGAGCGTTATTTTTTAAAGATCCAGAACAGAAAGGGGAGTAAAATTATTATTTTGTTTTAATTATAATTTTTTTTTTAAATTTTAATTATTTTTATTATTATTATTATTATTATTACACAAAAAATAAAAGTCCTGTCAGTATTTACTCACCCTCAACTGCTCTAAACCTGTATGAGTTCTTTGTTCTGTTGAAAAAAAAGAAAACAAAAAGAAAAGAAAAAAAAAAGAAGGTATTTCGAAGAATTTTTGGCAACCAAACAGTTCCTGCCCAATTGATTTCCATAGTATGAAAACAAATACTATGGAAGGCAATGGGGGGCATCAACTGTTTGATTACCGGTTTTCTTGAAAATATGTTACTTTGTGTTCAGCAGAGCAAATAAATTCATACAGGTTTGAAACAATTTCAAGCAAGGTGAGAAAATGATGACAGATTTTGAATTTTTAAGTGAACTATTCCTTTAATTTACAAAGAAAATGGTAAAATATTGTTGAAATGTTTTTTTTAATATCACCTTTGAAGTTTATATTACCTCATGATTATTGTATTGTTTTAGTGCTAGGTTGGCGTGGCATATTAATAATATAACATATCCAATCTTGTAACATCTAAAAATTACTTATAAGTTCTAGAAACTGCCAGTTTATGAAAAACAAATGGAAAGTGTGGCTTTTGAGTTCTGTATTGTTTTAGCGAGGATTGACTGCACAGTCAAAAGATGCTGTCTGATACATTGTTATTCTGCTGGAATTTTTGATAAGTTGTCTCTGATCGCTGCATAGGTCTGCTAAGCTCATTTGCAATTTAACAAAACAAAACTGCACTCACAGCATTGAATATGCCACTAAACAAAGCTTCTGAACAAGCTTTGTTTTTGAAAAGTGTGATTTCCACTGCTGACAGGCATTATGCTTTCTCAGTTGCGCTGTGTATTGAAAAGCGAAGTAGAACGACTTTAGGAATTCCTTGAAAGGAAATATTGGCAAGAAATTACAGTGGAGTTGTTCTTTCGCTGCAACTTCCTTGTCTTCTTTTTTCACTTCTTCTCCTCTCTGTTTGGAGACTGGACTTGATTATTGTGCACTTAATTAGTAGCATCACTTTTTTTTTTCTGGTGGGAGACTGACTGCAGAAGCTAATTTAAAGGTCTGACGTTGGGAGGTGAATCATGTTAGCCTCTTAGCTATTCCCAGTCACAAAGCACTTCTCATGTTGCTCATTATTGCGACATGTTATTAGGACTTATGCTGCTTTGAAATTGCTATTTTCAGACCTGTGAAAAGATACATTGTTTTTTATACTTTTGTGTTTTCTTTCTTTCTTTTTTTTTTATTCACCTATAAGAAAATGGCCAGCTGTGAGCAGGTCAGAAAGTGTGAGATAAATGTCAGTTTGGAGCAGAAACAGCAATCGGCTGAATTTCTGATACGGGTCATTTATAAGTGGCAATAGACGAGCCTTGCCACCCGTGTCTTCTCTAAAAAGACTCTCAGACCTGACTGTGAAGTCCTTTACCTCATCTTGCTCACACAAACATTCGACACAATTTAGTACTGCGCTAAATAACGGCAAAAAGCTAGTTAGAGGTACATTTTTTAGCTGCATGTTTTATACAAGCTAAGCAATTTGTGGCCTTCAACTTGCATTAATTTTTCATTTTAAAAAAATCCAAATGCCAAAAAGTAGTCGCAATCAAGGCTTGATTGTCTTTTGCTGTCCTTTGGTAGTAAAACAGCTTGAATTCTGCATGAAACGGAAGTTGAAATAGTCTTTTCCTCCCTATTATGAGATATATCCTTGAGAAATGGCTTCAAGAACAATCCCATCAGGAAATCATTGGATCATTGTTTTTTGTAGATCTCGTGTGATTGACAGGTTGTCTAACCTTTGTGCTGATAAAAACCTCATCACAGAAGAGATGTCATTGCAACTAGAATGGCAAGTTATTTTGATTAAGGTTTATGAGGGCACGTCATCGTGAATTAAAAAATAATAATAATAATTTAATGATGTGCACATATAAACCATTTATAACAAATACTGCAATGTTCCATAAAAGATAAGCATAGTCAGTTTTGATTTCAAGTTAAATGATGTGTCAAAACCGCTACCATTAAATGTATGCTTTTGTCCCAGTTGACCCTGAGAATGTCCTCTAGTCCTCTACATTCTGTCAATCTCTGTTTCTATATCTGCGACATCACATTGGCAAGCCTCACCCACAGTGAAATCTCATAATTATACATTAAACTTCCCCCATAATCACTTTAGCATGCTCACTTGTAATACACTTACAAATACTTCAGCACCCTGTGGACAGATAATCATGATTCATGGCCAAACTAGTATGATTTCATTACTTTCTCCAGTGCTTTCATACCTCCCATGCATAATTTAGTGTTATGTTTATGTAAGGTACTTGCAGCCTGGCAAACTTTTGCTTGTGGGCCATAGCAACTCACAACGAGCCCTCCATCAGGATGGAATATTCATGAATGCCTGGGCAGGTCACACAGGCCGATGCAAAATACGGCGAGATTAAAATAGAATGAGTCGTTATGCTCAAGGTGATGTGTATCTTTTTCTCCATGGCCAACCTTCAGACGTTTGACAGATCTCACAAAGCTGTCAGAGAATTCAGTTCCTTCTTCCTGCCTTTTGTTCACACTTTTTTTTTTAAAAAGAGGGGAAAAAGTTGCCCTGAGGTCCCTCAGTATAGAACAGATGGTAAAATGTTCCCTTTGATCTTCTTTTCAGGTTTCAGGAGTTTTCTGGCTGTCGTGTGAATCACAAACATGCTTTGGTTGTTTGAAGACACAGATTAAGTACAGAGCATGAATTGGCAATAAGTAGTCAGATGCTTTTTATAGTTATCAGGGCTTCTCTTGCTATCTTGTCTGTGATGGTCTAGCACTGTGTGAATCTTTTGCACAGCCAGACTAACAAACTGCTTATAAGTGACTAGAAAAAAAAAAAAAAAAAAAAAAATATATATATATATATAATTTAACCTAACAGACTAGGGAGGTGTTGTCACATTTGGATTATTGCAGCCAGACGTTCCCCACACTTGGGCTATTGTTGTTGCATGCAGTACGTTAAAGATTTCAGTTGTTTTAAATATTTAGTTGTGATTAAATATTAGTTTTAAGTAAATGTTCAATGAAAAGTAATTTATTTAATTTAACTGTAAATTAATATGCACAACTGCATTTCCAATATCTCCTAATACCGATAAATTTAAAAAGAAATCTCAATATTGACTTATATGATACTGATATATTCCATTCATCCCTTAGTATAAGCTGTTGTGCATCTGTTACTATAAAGTAACTTTTATATTGTCAAGTCAAGTCACATTTCTTTATATAGCGCTTTTTACAATACAGATTGTATCAAAGCAGCTTCACAGTGATAACATGAAAGTAATATAACACAGATCAGTAATATTGTTGAATATTAAATGTCCCCAACTAAGCAAGCCAAAAGCAAGGCAACAGTCGCAAGGAACCAAAACTCCATCAGGTGATTGAATGGAGAAAAAAAAACCTTGGGAGAACCCAGGCTCAGTCGGGGACTGGCCAACGAAGGAACAGTGATTACAAAACAAATTGGATCGAAACATTAAGAGAATTGTCCATTTCCATCTGTTTGGAATTTGAAGTAATCACGCCGGTTTGGAGACGAGATGTTGAGGATGGCTGTCGTGTCGAAGAGGCCAATTGGATAATTAAACCTGGGTTGGCTAATTATACCTGGGTTAGGATTCTGAGCGAGGAGTGTCTGGGTCAGCATTATAAATAAAACCTTTGAAAAACCCTGTTAAAGACTTGTTTTCCATCAAAAGTATGTTTATGAATTTATAGATTTCACGGAGTTGCTTTATGGGCCTGTGAAAAGCGAAACAATTATAAATGTTTAATTTTTTTACCTCATACAAATAACTATTTGTCGTATTTGTTGCTGGACCAGAGAAATTGTT